ACCTCGTGAAATTCTTTTGCAAAGTTCAGTAATGATTTGGGTGATTTTTAAAGTTTAGTGACCTCGTAAAAATCTTTTGTAAAGTTCAATGACTATTTGGGTTATTAACTCCAAAATTTGCATTTCAATCCCGAATATTATTTTCTTGCATAATTTAGTTATCTTCAGTTTAGAGAGATCAAAACAATAGTTCATCGATCTTGTAATTAGAAGTGCTACTATTACAAGTTGAGGCCGTTGCATCTTGAGAAATGAACGAGTGCCAAAGGATTTGTCACACTAGTGCAGGGTATTATCATTTTGAGGAGAAAGAATCAAGCCCTTACCTTGACCATTTTAATTTCTGTTTTACTCCTTTTACTAAGTAAGTCAAGGTCCAATATTTTACTTAATATAAAGGTTATTTTGAATATAAATTAGTGCAGGGTAAGTTTGATATATTGCATTACATTTTTCTAACAATCTTGAGATGATAATTTTATTATTCATGTGCTAATTTATATTCTTGTTTACATTATGACAAGTAATGCTACATCAGTCATACCTCTTAACAATGCTGATGGGGAGCAGAAAAAATTATGGGAGTGAATTTTAAGAAATGGTAACAAAAGATGCAATTTGTCTTACAACTCTAAACTCAGTGAAATTCTTGAGTAAATATGCTTTGACTAATGATGAGGAAGAATAAAATCCTCAAAGATGAGCAGCTTTTGATGCATGCAGTTACAATGACTTCTTGTGTAGAAATTACGTCCTCAACTCCCTTGATAACACACTATATAATGTATATAGTTCGGTCAAGATAGCTAAAGTATTTTGAGAATCTTTGGAAAGAAGTACAAAAGGAAGATGCCGGATTGAATAAATTCATTGTTTGCGAAGTCCTCGACTTCAAAATGGAATATTCTAAAATAGTGATGAATTAAATCCAATAGTGATAAATGTATTTTATACGCTTACTCGGACATAAACATATAGATATTTAATAGTTCTTTTAAGTAATTATAGCCTAATCTATTGTATATTCATGTATTAGGTAATACTCGATTATTGGAAGTGGAATTGAAAAAAGAAGAAAAAACCACGAAAAATGGTGATGTACAAAGTTTGAGGATCAAATTGCCAATATTCAATGGTTGATCTGGACTATAAGTGATACTTTGAATATTTTTAGGAGTCAATTAGATGCAATTTGAAGGAAAAAACTGAAATATGATTAGAATATTACCATAATTCGATTTCAATCACACAAGATATCTTCTAGATTTCTAGTCAAAGATGCATAGCAAATGTCCTAATTGAAAATTTTCCATTTCTAGCAAAATCATAGTCCTTTGATTTAGCTTTTTAATACACTTTGAATCACCTTAATCAGATTTCAGCAAAGAAAGTTTTGACCAAAATACTAACTGCTATGCAGATATAAAAACATGTGTGCACAAATGTGACTTTCCTTATTCAATTTGAACTCTTTTGGAAACCAATTTAGATGTGATTTTCAATGAATTTTCGATTCTTACAAAAACCTAATAGCACAATACATTAAAAGACCTCTCTTAACCCCCCCCCCCCCCCCCCCCCCCACCCCCCCCTATGTTAGGCTAGTTTTATACATTATTAGGATAAGATGAACCCGTGTTATGATAGTTTTAGTTGTTGATTAATTATTTTGACTTTAATTTGGTTTGATTTATGGATATTTATTATAGTTTTTATCTTTTTCTAATTCTTTGATTACCAATTGAATTGTTAGTGAACTTTATTGTTATCGAAAGAGAAAATAGGGTTTAAACACAATATAATAAATATTGTAAGGTTCGATAGAGGATAGAGATATATCTCTATGTTTTATATAGTTTCAGTAGGTGTTCTCGTACTTGTTAATGCATTTATCATTGCTTGCATCTTTTATTGAGAGATAGAAGGATTACATGAGTAAAATAGAGTTGATCACTATCGAGAGAGGCTTTCAATTGAATTAGGAACATTGACCAACATGAATGATTTCAATTGTTACTTTAATTGTTAAAATAAAAATTGAATAACAAGGGGAATTCGACATCTTAGCAATGTATCTCACATATTTGGAAAACACATTTACTTGCTTTCACTAGTTTAATTGATAATTTAGAGATTGACATAGAAAAATCACAAAATTTGTTTGCTATTCGATTAAAGTTGCAATTAATTTTAATTCAGTCAAACACGTAGCCCTCATGGGTTCAACACTTTATTTATTACTTTATTACTTGTTCGTGGTCCCATTCACTTGCAAGAAATCAAACAATCAAAGAGCTATAAATTATCCTGCACGAGGTACATGCAAAAGATATGAAGCCCAATGAGACATTTCAAGTTGCTGTGATTATTGAGAAATAACCATCAATGTGAAAAGATTTCAAGAACTACCTAAAACACAAATACAAGGAAGTGGGACTACAAGATCTTATTGTAAGATTGAAATTGAGAAAGACATTCGAAATTCTAAAAAGAAATCTAAGGAGCAAAGACAAGAAATTCAAAGGAGAATGCTATAATTGTGGTAAGCTAGATCATATCACTAAGGATTGCTGACAGAAAAAGGATAACAAAATGGACAAAGTGCACTTAATCGAGGAAGACAAATTGTCTAATGACGTGTCTAAACTGATGCTCTCGACTGTTGTATTTGAAGCAAATAGGGTGGACAATCCGAGAGAATGGTTCATAGACATTGTTTCTACTCGTTACTTTATGCTGATAATAAGATGTTTTCACCTTACACTCCTATCAGTGGATGACAACTATTCATGGACAACTCCACATCATCAAAAGTTTTTGGTCTAGGTAAAGTAGTAATGATGATATTAGGTAAAGAAGTAACCCTCATCGATGTGTTGCATGTTCAGGACATTTGCAAGAATTTGGCAACTAGAGCTTTGTTGAGCAAAAATAGGTTTAAGCTATTATTTGAGTCTGTTAAGTTTGCACTCATAAAAAATGGCATGTTTGTGGGCAAGGGATACTAAGCTAATGGGCTACTCTAAGTACATATAATGCCTGTACTTCATGATTTTGATATAGTAAAAAATATTTTTCGGAAACTAGTAAGTTTAGATTCATTGTCTTCTTTTTCATTTGATCAAAATCATCCATGTGAAACTTATGTAAAGCTAAGTTAGCAAAAACACAATTTCATCCCGTTGAAAGGAACTCAAATCCTCTAGTTAATTCATAGTAATATCTGTAATTTGAAATTTGCGAACTAAAGGTAGTACAAAATACTTTATAACTTCCATAGATGATTGCTCAAGATATTATTATGTCTGTTTGCAAAGAAGCAAAGACGAGACATTAGAAGCATTTAAGCAATACAAGAATGATGTTGAGAATCAACTTAGCAAACGAATAAAAGTTATTTGTAGTGATGGAAGTAGAGAATATGGAGCACCGTTTGAAGAATTTGTTTGGATTTTGGAATTACTCATCAAACTACAGCTCCTTATTCACCTCAATTGAATGATGTTGTTGAATGTAAATATCTTACCCTTAAAGGGATATGAATGCTATGTTAATTAGTTCTAGTTTAACTTGAAACTTGTAGAGGGTAAGTAAGTCTCTCAACCAACCACATTCTTAATAAAATACCATCTAGATGTAAGAACGAAACTTCTTTCAAGTTATGGAAAGATTACAAACTTTCATACAAATACTTAAAAATATGGATATGTTTGGCTAAGGTAGCAGTGCCAAAGCTTAAACAAGTTAAAATATGGCAAAAAACTATTTACTGAATATTTATTGGATACACTAATAATAAATGCATATCGGTTCCTCGTATATAAGTTAGACAATCCTGATGTACATGAGAATACTATCATTGAATTTAGGAATGGTGTAATTTTCAAAGACAAATTTTCTTGTAAGGATAGGAAAGAAGTTCACAAAAATAAAATTATGTTACTATAATGGGTAGTCATTAAAGTTATGAAAAATTACGATGTAGTAATAGGACCAAAACAGCTACATCTTTTGGTCCAAAATATTTAACTTATTTGTTAAAAAATGAACTTAAGATAATCTAATAAAACAATGTCAAATTCAGAAGCATCATTCTGTAAAGCGGCTATTAATAATGAAATTGTATCTATTATGTGGTATTATACTTAGGAGTCGATAGATCTCAATCCTAATAACAAATCATTAGGCTGTAAATGAATTATTAGAACAAAATCAAAGATTGATGGATTGATTGATAATTATAAGGCCAAATTGGCAATCAAAGGATTTAAACAAAAAGAAGTTCTTGAATATTTCGATACACACTCACACATTATAGGGATAAAGTCTATTAGAGTATTGATTGCAACCATAACATTGCATAATTTAGAGATTCATCATATGGATGTTTAAACAACTTTTTTAAACGGTGAGCTTGTAACGCCCCGAGTTCGAGGAACTCGTGACATTACAAAGAACTTAAATTTATAAAATTCTACCTAAATAGTTCATAAAATGTAGAAATTTAACTTGTATTAAAAACATTAAGGCTCTAGAGAACTCATTACAAAATTTAAGAAATTTTCGTTCAGCAAGTTTAGACTTTCAGCTTGTACGACTTTCTGAAATAAATCTCGTTCAACAAATAAATGAAGTCCAAAATTTACAAAATTTTAACTGTAGATATCATGCACATAGGGGAATTACAGGTTAAAATTTCGTAGATAAATTCAATCAATAAATTGGTCAAAAATTCTTTCTAAATCGGGGCAATTTGTTCCCAGGTACAATCTGACAGCTATTGGGAAAATTTTCATAACTTGAGTTTTATAGATCCAAAATTCATGATTCCAAATCCAAGGGATAGATAACTTATATGGATATCTTTTTCAATTCGAATTACCTCAAAATTCCAAGTATTGAGATCCGGGTGGATTTTTAAACTTAGGCAGAAACTGGAAATATTTAGTTTCCAATAGTGTAACTCAAATGAACTGAATCAAGCCACCATAAAAAAAATATTAAGCAAGTTCATCATCAGATCAGCTTCAAGTTTTCAAGAAACACTAATTTAAAATATCCCGAATTTATCGGCCATAGCAAAATGTAAAAAAATAGTGGCAATATAAAACATAAGAATAAATTTCTCTAAAAATAGTATGTGCCATTCATGCCAATCCACCACTGGATCTCCGATTATTCTGAAAAGGGTTAAATAAGGGTGAGCATCTCAAAGAAATACTAAGTAGGCTACACGTGTTATATGAACATAATAATTGTCTATTTGATCTTGTATTCTTGCATTTTGCCTTCATAAATAAGTAAATCGATGATCAAACGATCTACCTAGGATTTTGATGAGCCTCTGCAACCATCAGTTTAACATATACACTTAAGGTTCTGATAATTCTCTGCGACCATCAGTTTAAACATATATAAACCTTCCTTTCATAAAAAATTTAAGATAAAAATTATAAGGGCACTTTATGTACTTCATGCAATTATAACGAATAACGTGCTTAATTGAAAACTAAATTCATATAACGACAACTTCGCATAGGGATCCTACCTTAACTTGCAATAATATAGTAGTGAGTGCGTTGATCAATTTCGAATCTTCAACATGAAATATATTCTGCCTTTCTATCTTTTCTTTTGTGTGGCAGCCATATCCATATGATATTTATTCCATGTGTGCTATGCATGTTATGTATCTAGAGTTATCTATCGTCAATTGGAATTCATGAGTAATTAGGAATCTTTTCCATGTCACTCACAAGGATGAGATAAGGACAGATTTTAAACAAAAAATGGTTTCCTAGTAAAGCTTGAAGTCCACATGTGAAAGCTGATAAAATCCTTCCAATGAAATCAATTCAAACCAATCCTAAACGCTTTCATTCTAATCCAAAATCAAAGGTTCAAATTTCAAATTTTTGTTTTTATTTTTTAATGCACGTGGCTGCCAAAAAAAAATTCAAAATCTTTAATTGACTTTAGTTAAGCATGTGGTTTCTTTGCACATCAATATCATGGGCCTAGCATATTCAAAATAACTTTTTCTCGAGTACAAAATTCGCCATTTAATATAAGTTTCGAAACAAGTCCAATATCGATATGAAATTTCTCGTTAGACGAATACTTGATTATTTGACTGGAAGCTAAAATTTTGACACAAGTTTTGTTTTTAGTCCCTTGGGGTCTCAAACTAACAGAGCATGTCGTGATGAAATAGATTAAAGTTTATTTTCAATTGCTACATAGCTAGAAGAAGAAATAAACATGGAACAACATAAAAGGTTAATTACTCCTGGATAAGAGAAAAATGTGTGTAGACTCGTTAAGTTATTACATACTAAATCAAGCGCCAAAAACAGTGGCATGCGAAATTGACAAAATTGTGTTGTCAAATAGTTTTAAGATTAGTAAGTGTGATAAGTGTGTTTAAATTAAAACCACACCATGCTTATATGCAATTGTGTCTATATGTTGATAAAACGCTAATTATGGATATTAATCATGATATCACGATGACTACCAAGAAAATGTTGGCAAAATATTTTGACATTAAAGATGTTTATTGAAAATGTAATATTAAAAATTAAAATCCTTAAAACATCTAAGGGACTTGTTCTGTCTCACTCACTATATGGAAACTGGACTTAAAAAGTTTCATATGTATGATGAAAGTTCAATTAAAACTCAAGTAGACTTAAGAATACATTTGGCCAAACATAAAGGTGAACCCATTTCTTAGTTAGAGTACTCTCGGATAATAGGCAAGCAAATGTATATTACAAATTGCATGCGTTTGAATATTGCTTATGCAGCGAACAAGTTTATTAAATGGACACGTAACCTGGTGATGAGCATTAGAAGGCATTAATTAGGTTCTTATATATCTACGATTGATCTCAAATGTTGGATTACATTGTATTATATACTAGCAGTATTAGAAGGATACATTGATTCTAATTGAATATTGAACACAAAATATTTAAAGTTTACTAGTGGTTATATTTTTACTATTGGTGATACGATTGTATCTAGGAAATCTTCTAAACATACGTATATAGCTCGATCTATAATGAAACTCGAGTTCATATTTTTAGATAAATTGGAGAGAAATTAGGCATCATAATTTTTTAGATGATATTTCATGTTGGTCTAAACCTGCGCCACTTGTTCATTAAAATTATAAACCGCAAATGTATAGGTTGCATTCAAGTAATAAAGTGGATTTTTTGATTCCGAATTGTTGATCCCTCAAGAAATATATATTTTCAATTATACAAATTAGTTAATTTAATTTTAACAATAAAAGGAACACACACTAAAGATTTGGTTTTGGAAAATAACTAAAAATCTACAAAATTAGGAAATATAAAAATCTTGAAAATTTCGGAGAAAAAATGTTGTTGTGATTTATGGTTTCACTTAATTGTCGCCTAATTAATTTCTCTAATGGCCAATCAATGAATTACTTATTTACGATGTTAAACCCAATTTTCTAATTTTAGTTAATTACACATTTCGAGCGAAATTAACCTTAATTGATTGATTTAACCTATTGTATCTATATGTCGATTAAAACCAAATAATTACATTAATCTTTGTGAAAATAGCCCATTGGGTCACCTAGGGATAGAAGATTAGTATATCTCTATTAGGGTTGCACAAAAAAATAGGGAAATCGCAAACCAAACCGAAATCGTTGAGTTGAAACCGTTGGTTTGGGTCCACGTGGACCCGTGGCTTTATTTTTCCTCAAATTGAACCAAACCGTTTCAAAATGGTTTGGTTTAGATTTTGATTTTCAAAAACCGCATAAAACCAAACCGAACCGTTTTAAAATTTTTTAATTAAAACATTAATTTTGTTAACTTAAAAATTTCACAGTTTTCGCTTTTCAGAAGAAAAATACCAATTTAGCAATACAAGTTACAATTATCCTATTGAAATAATCATAGAAAGTAAATCAGTTTCATCATTATTGGTCTATGGTTTAACAAGTTCACAATACATGTCCTTACCTGATATCTAAACTAAACTAAAATTATTCTAAAATCATATGAAATATATATATATATATTTTCAACAATTCAAATCATAATTCAACAAAACTATTATAGCAAATCATGTCCAAAGTTTAAGAAACCTTAACGTAAACTCTTATTCCCTAACATTTGACGATTGTCTGCCACTGCTGAACAAATAACTAGTCGCATTTGCCTGTTAGTCAGCTAAATTCTACCTAAATTGTCTCGTTCTCTCTTCTCTTTCGATAAGCCTCAGATTCTCACTCAAACAATTTTTCGTTGTTCTTTCTTTTATTTGTTGTTTTTGAGCTTATTACACACACTTGTGAATTGTGGTTTGGAAAGAAAATAATTGTTTTTGTGCCTAGATGATTAATGAATTTTTTTTATGGTTTAGAAAGAATGAATGATAGATCATATTGATTGTGTGAAAATGTTAAAGTTTCCTAACAAATACTACTACTTTTTACTTTCATAAAGTAGTTAGAGAATGAAATTCCAATTCCCAATAAGTTGAAACTCTGTCAATTTTTGCACATCTAAATATATCTTGTTCAATCCTTATTTAACGTCTCAATAGTCAGACTAAAGGATTTTTAATCAAACTAAAATGTAATTCTACCTCTACCAACCGGTATATGACAATATGAATATCAAACAAGAAAAGGTAAATAAAAATGAAGAAACGTGTATTTGTTCTATTAACATCTTTTAACAACCAATTTTGAAAATAATTTATTCATGGGTTTCATAGTAAATATGAATATTATTAGTTCTTTTTGAAATTTATATGTTAACTTATATTAAATATATTACTATAATGTCGATGGTAAATCGCGGATTAAAATCGAATCAAACTGCAAATTATGGTTTGGTTTGGTTTGAAAAAATTTCAAACCGCATAAAATGGGTTGAGTTGAAAATAAAGTATAAACCGTCCAAATCAAACCATGTTCACCTCTAATCTCTGTCCCCTCAACAAATCTAGGGTTTTTATTATTTGGTCTAAAATGCACAATCTTCTCTCAAACGATTTCCAATCACTGAATAAAATCATTCATTGGTCATATAAACGAAAATGCAATAATAACTATCGTAAAAACATATGAAAATAAATAACTTAACATCAAAGAACAAATATTGAAATTAATTAAAGTTATGTTAAGTTACTACCATAAATTTCAACAATAAAACTTAGCTCATGTTATATAAATGATAAAAAAGAGAATATTTTATACATACATTGCAAGTTTGACAAAATAATAGAGAAAATACAAGATTATAGATAAACACCCCCCCCCCCCCCCTCCTCTCCTGCCGAAGATGGCAGCCCAACAAGCCAGAAGCAGAATGAACCAGCGTGAAGCATTTTTAATTTAAAACCTAGTGAAATTGCAGCTCAAGTCTCCCAAGTTTTGAAAATTAACAAAATGATCTCCAAATTCTTGTAGTGGCGCCTAGGCGCCAACTCTATGCCAACTGCAACTTGATTTCATTTTTTTCCCTTTTTGCATACAAGTCCCTTATCAATTTGCACTCAAGGTATCTTAACTTTGATCTTGTACAATTCGATCCTCATATTTAGACTTATAAATCGATTTTGCCCCGTATAAATTGCAGGCCAAGGTCCTCAACTTTTGGTACTTGTGCACTTTGGTCCCCCAACTTCACGTCTTTGCATGCTTTTGGTCTTTTTCTCCTCATTTCGCCTTGTTCTCATTCCATGAATGATTTTTGACCTACAAAAGTAAATGTTACCTAATTATGAGTAAAATCTCATTCATTCAATCAATTATAAGCATATTTTGATATTAAATAAGTGTGCAAAAACACACTTAACAGTTAGTCAACTATTGTTAGAGCACAAAGAAGTATGTATGATGCTAAGCCTCGACACATTTATCGAAGACATAATATAATTGAGCAATTGATCTCAAATGGCTTTTTCATAGATTATGTAAAATCTAAGAAGAATCTCGTGGATTTGCTTACTAAAAGGCTTACAAAAAGATTAAGTATACTGTCTATCGAGTGGAATGAGATTAAAGCCTATTATGTAAGGATCTTTATAATGGAAACCTAATCTTGCTAATTAGATATCCGAAGATCTTTTTTCAATGAGATAACTAAATTATGAAAATTCAATGAACACTTGGGAGTTAACTCCTTCCCATTTTTATCATAAAAAAAGTGCTTTCTATAGAAAATTTGAAGTTAAATCATACTTTTACTGATTCCTGTATTTTGGACAAACGAAATAAGGTACGGCAAGTACTCTTAATAGAAGCTCACTTATATAAGTTTGAAGTATGGATATTTCCATGAGAATGTTTCAAGGCTCGAATTCTTTAAAGCACTTGTGAAATCTAAGAGTTATTTAGGCTTAAAATGAATGCAACAGTGAAAATAAAGATATTTAGGAGGTTATTAAGTGGGTACTATTATCATGGTTTACATCGATGAAAACCTATAAGGTACCTATTTCGATGCAATAACTTTTCGCTTGATATCTCTCTATTATGGTCTACATAGTTTGTTTCTTTAATTTCATTCATGTGGAGGATTGTTGGAAAAATTGGTTTGACTAAATTTTGACCAATTATTTGAGTGGATCCTAGTAGTCGAATGAAAGATTTCTTTGACCAAGTGTATTATACTCTGTAGGTAAATTAACGTGGTATATTTATTTTTTAAAAAAATCAATTTCAGATGAATGAGAAATTAAGTTCAAAAGATGCTAATTATA